GATGTACAAATGCGCTTTACACAATTGATGTGTGTATGGATTGTGATAAGAGTTGTATGAGCCCCTAATAAAATGTTAAAAAAACAAACAAACTGAAACTGAATAAATGTGTGTGTGTGTGTGTGTGTGTGTGTGTGTTTTGGATGAAAGCTAGGAGGGTGAATGGGTGGGGAATGTGTCAAAGGGACTTTCAGAGAAGCCTGAAGGGCTAACTAAGACTCTGAAAACCACTATTTAGCCAGGAAGAAGGAAGATCAGTGGAAGCAAAGTGCTGTGTGTTCTTTATTCATTAAAGAAATTATTATTACGTACTTTCCATTTGAATAGTAAGCCTTCTAGAAGCAGGAATCTTTTACGTTTAATCATAGTTCTAACCAGTGTCCAGGTATGTGACCATAAGCCAGCAACCTTTTTTATTTTTTAAACGTAATGAATGACAATTGTTCCATTATTTGTGTCTACAAACGTAACAGCACCAGTGGACCCTGGTGGCATAGTGGTTAAAGCACTGGGCGGCTAAGTGGAAGGTGGGAATTCAAAAAGCCCCAACCCACCAACCATAAAGATTTACAGCCTCAGAAACCCAATGGGGTAGTTCTCCTTTGCTCTCTGAGTAACTATGAGTCGGCTGGATGGGAGCAATGTTTTATATCCACTATGAACTGGAGCCCTGCTGGTGTGCTGTCTGTCTGTTAGGAAGTAATCCATGTGGTCGGCAGTTCAAAACCACCAGCAGCTCCGCGGGAGAGGCTTTCTCCTCCAGTAAACAGTCTCAGGACTCACATGGGGTCACTATGAATCAGCAATGAGGCGCTAGTATGTGGGGCAGAGAACAGTCATCTAATAAAATTCGGGGCAGTTTCCACACCTAGATCGAATCTTGGATGGATATCCTGAACAAGTTATCTGTGGAGCTAGTGAATGATCAAATTATTTCTAAATCAACAAAGGTTTTGCACGGGTAAATAAAAGCCACTGTATCCAGTCAATTCCAATTCACCGTGATGGACAGAATAAGACTGCTCTCTAGAGTTTCTGAGGCTGTAGATCTTTACAATAGACAGACATTCTCTGAGTTGTGGTCTGGTTTGAACTGCCCATGTAGCGGTTAACAGCCCCATGCCTGACCCGCAGCACTACCAAGGATCCTTACACGGCGTACAAGGGCAGCGTAGCACGGGCCCACTCGGTTGCCAAGGCTCTAAATCTTTATGGTTGGTGAACTGGGCTTTCCAATCCCAGACCTTCTGGTTAGCAGGCGAGCACTTTAACCACGGCATCACCAGGGATCTTCATGTACTTCCAGCGCTTTGCTTGGGCCCAAACCAACTTTGTTTCCTGGGAAGGTGTGGCTGGAATCGCTGAACGCCTAGCGCGGCGCGGGGCGGCAGTGTCAGTCTGCTGGGAACCAATCAAGTTGCACGTGTTCAAAGGGGTCCTTGTCATCCAGGGACCTGTTCGAAAGGCCTGCAAAACAAGCCCCCTCCCAGTGTCCCGATGTTCTCAGCTCTTCTCCTTCGCTTCAGTAATTCTTCCTCTTAACTCGCAGTCTGTCTGTCCTGTGGGGCACGGGCCCGATTAGGCCACGCGGAGCGCGTTTCGGGTGCAACGGGCCCGGCGATCGCCGAGGCAGCCCCGGAGAGGCCCCCGGCTCCCGCGGACGCGGAGGCCGGCGCGGCGGCTTCCGAGACCGGCGCGATGAGACCGAGACCCGCGGGGTTCGTGGATAACAAGCTGAAGCAGCGAGTGGTTCAGGTGTGTGGACTGCGCGACGCGGCCTCGCGGGGGTCTCTGCCTGCCCTGCGGGGACCTGCTGCGGTGCTGTTCGCAGGGGGCGGGGGGCTCAGGATGAATCGGTCAGGACATATCCCTTCATCTGGGATCGGGCGCGGGTCTCTTGATAAGCCTGCGCCTCTCTTAGAGGTGCCGGGCAGTCCTTCGCCCCTCGTTGGGCCGACTCGAGGTGCCCTGGGTGATGGGAGGGTGTGGCCTGTGCGTTTGGACTAGCACAAGATTTGAATGTTAGAGTGTTGGTCGTTAGAATGAAGTTAGCGTAGGTACCACCTTCCAGAGGTGTTCTTCCAACCTCCAAATGGTGTGAGAGATTTTGAGGAACGCACAGAATATATTAATTTCTGGTCCCGGGGAGCTTGCAGTCAGCCTGGAGACACAGGAAAAAGAAGTAACGGGCCTCAGATATTGTAATCGGCATTTGACCGACCGTTGATTTTCATGGAAAGTCATGTGTATTAAATGCGTTGGAATGTGCCGTCAGCAAGCAGTGTGAATTAGGAGAAAAAGGAAGTTTTTCTTCACATTACACTTTGGGGAGTTATACAATCGCCTTGATTTTCTTTGACCTCTCCGGACGTTACACAGTTTCTTTTTTGGATCCAGCCTGTGTTGTTTGTTGCCAGAGTTGATTCTAATTCTGGGCAACCCACGTGCGCGGCATGTGCCAGAGTAGAACTGCCCCTTAAAGTTGTCAAGGTTGTGACCTTTCTGGAGCGATAGCTGGGTCTATCTCTCTAGGTGTCTTTGGGTGAGTTAATAGTTGAACACATAACTGTTTGCACCACCCAGGGACTCCATCTCATCTCCTACGAGTTCCTCTCACTGCCAAGGGTCGATCGATTCTGACTCCTAGTGATCCTATGGAGCACAGCAGAACTGCCCTTGTGGGTTTGCAAGGTTCTTAACATCTGTAGGAACAGCAGGGGTTGGAACCAGGGGCAGGATTTCCTGCCTTGAAAATCTTATAGAGGCAGTTCTATTCTGTCCAGTTGCAGTGTGTCAGAATCAAGTTCATGGCAAGCCCCCTACTCCCTCCCCCCAATTTTTTGCTCCTACAAGTTTCTGAGCAATGACTCCTAATTGCTGAAGCCAGTGGCCTCGTGTCAGTCCTTACTACAATTGACTGCTCTTCTGTGTTTTACATGATCCGTTTTCCTGTATTGTTTTTGTACATTATGAAAGTAATCAGCTTTTATGGTTTAAACTAAAAGTCACAGAAGAGTTTAAAGTAAAAAGATGATGTTGTGGGCGCAGGGGATGTAACTGAAGCAGCCTGGCTTTGCCCACTTGCTGTTCATCAGAGGCATTTATGCAGAGGGGTTAGCATGTATTAGGAATATCTGCAAAGAAATGTCTGTAGGAAGTGGGATATTGGACTGGATAACAAGTGTTGAAATGGAGGTTGATAACTTAGTCCAAGTTTCAGTTCTGACATTACACTAGCATTGCCAGCTACAAAAGGAGATATTAATACCTACCTTATAGGATTGTTATTATTGAAAGAGATAATGTGTAAAAAGCACCAAGAACAGTCCTTAAGACACAGGTTCCTCAACAATCTCGGTTCACAACTCCCTTAGTTTCTCAGTAATTTTTTAAATGTTAATATAATTTTTTAATTTATTAATCATGTTATTGGGGGCTCATACAATGGTTATCACAATCCATCCATCCATCCATTGTGTCAAGCACATTTGCACATTTGTTGCCATCATCATTCTCAAAACCTGCTTTCCACTTGGGCCCCGAGTTTCTCAGTAATTTTTTCGTGGTATCCCTCCACACCAAAAGAGACCAAGCTCACTGCCATTGAGTCAGTGCCAACTCATAGCAGCCCTGTAGGACAGGGCAGAACTGCAGTGAGTTCTGAGATCATAACCCTTGCTGGGAGTAGAAAGCCCAGTCTTTCTCCTGAGGAATGACACATGGTTTTAAACTGCTGACCTTTGCTGTCAGCAGTCCAGTGCATAATCACTGCACGACCAGGCCCTGTACCAAAAGGAATAACCTAAGAGGTATTTTTATCAAGTATGTAAGCCCAAGCAACTTAATAATTATCTAGTCCGAAGAACTTAGTAACTATTTGAAAAATAAGATATATGAAGTTGAAAAAAATCAGTATATCTTTCACTTTTAAATAGCCATAATTACTTCCCAATGGGATTTGTGTGCCTACTGGACACTGTGCAGCTTTTCATGCTTCGGAATCAGATTGACATTGCCACGTGCATTTCCTGGTCTACATTGATTTTTGCATCATGTTAACTTTCAATCACAGCAAACACTGAAAATCTAGTTTTGCACATATGAAATCATCAAAAGGAATAAAAGGCAACTTAATAATTGAAATGGAATTGCTTCAAGCTACTAAGTCTTGCAGTGCCTGACAGATGTCCACTATCACTGTTCCTTTAAATGAAAATGTCACTGGTGCTCTTGAGTTTATTCATGTTCAGTGATGTCTTACTAGGATGTCGTAAGCATTCACTTATCACATGATAGCTCTTCTAGTTATTGTTGCTATTGCGTTGTCAAAGTGACTAATGTTTTAACTCTCATTGTAAAAATAATACTCTGTTTCGTGATGCCAGTCTTGAAAATTGCTTTGAAGTTAAATTTAAGTTTCTGGTATGCTATATTAATGAAGAGTTTACGTCACAATGCAGCATGTTTCAGTAGTGTGATCTCTTGTTTGTTCATTAAAATCACTGTTAAAATATTAAGTATTTTATATTTATTGTATTTTCTGTTCTAGTATCTTACCAGTAACAGATGTGGCAAATATGTGGACACTGGATTTTTAGCATCTGATTTGCAAAGAATGTACAGGTAAAGCAATGTAATCTGTAGATCCTTGTTTTTCTATTTTTAAAGTTTCTCTGCTGTAAATTTCTAATGGATACTAATACTACTTACCACCATTGAGTCAATTCAGACTTGTCATCTATCCTGTAGAACAGGGTAGAATTCCACCTTGTGGGTTTTTGAGATGGTAACTCTATGGGACTAGAATGCCTCCTTTTTCTCCTGTGGACTCACTGGTGGTTTTGAACTGCTGACCTTGTGGTTAGTAGCCCAATGCATAACCATTGTGCCACCAGAGCTAATACTAGCTGGCATCTAATTATCTCCCCATATACTTGGGATTTACTTCTGTTGTACAAATATTTATCCAGCACTTATTATATGCTAGGAGCTTTTTTTTTTTTTGTTACTGTGGGCAATGGCTAATTATCTTTAGTATCTCACAATCTGGCCTGGAAAGAGTTGTGGCTATATTATGTCCTCATTAAAGAATGAAAACCTTCAAGCATATTCTCCCTCAGCACCCTGGCTCCTTATCTAGAGATATGTCATTCAGTTACTTTTCCCACTGAAGAATAAATCCTCATGTGCCTCTAATGCTACTGTGGTTTTTTTGAAAGCCATTAAAAAATCTTTGCTTTGTAAGTGTCTGTCTCTCTCCCACCCCCCACCACCCCCTTTATCTTGTAAAGAAATGCAGGTCTCCATGTCTCTTCTATGCTGAAAAAAAAAAAAAGAGAGAGAGAAAGAATAAAAACTTTGTACCCTACTAGATTTCTATAATAATAGATTATAGAAATAATCTGTTATTTCTCCAACCCTTCACCAGCCTCACTGTCCACCCCTACCACTTACTTTACTGAAATGTATGGATTACCTTTTCCTTCTAATTCCTTTTTTTTCTTCTAATTTCTTATATCTCACTTGATAATATAACTGTCTACCCAGTCACTTTGGTTCAAAACTTTTGTTTCTTCTTTTTTTAAAAAAACAGTTTTATTGGAACTTCACATATCATACAATTCAATAGTTCAGTCATCTCAAGAAGAGTTGTACAATCTTTACCACAATCAGTTTTAGATGGTTTTTCTACCTTCTAGTGAACCGGTATCTCCCCTTCCCCTACCCCCATGAGTCTACAGTCACCACACCTTACTCTTAAAAAAAACCCAAACAAAACTCATTGCCATTGAGTCGAATCCAATTCATAGTGATCCTACAGGACAGAGTAGAACTGCCGCCTGTGGTTTCCAGAATTGTAACTACAGGAATAGAAAGGCACGTTTTTCTCCTGGAGTGGCTGGTGGATTCGGACTGCTTACCTTGTAGTTAGGAGCCCATATCTTAACCAGTGTGCCAGCCAGGCTCTTAGAAACCTCGCTACTGTCTCTTCAATGGTTCTTGGAACCTGTTTTTTCCTTTCCCAGCATATTACTTGCCTAATCAAGACCTTCATTATTTCCTGTCAAATGTCTGTTTTAGCATCTAAGGCTTTCATTATTTCCTGTCAAATGTCTGTTTTAGCATCTAAGCTATATCTACCCTACCTGTCCTGTACCTGGCCTGCCATCTTTTTTTAAAATGTATGACTCATAATCTGAGTGTGATTTTTACATTCTTAAGGTTGGGAGGGAAAAAAAAGAATGTTGTTTCATAACTCATGAAAATTTTATGAAATTTAAAGCACACTGTAAATAGTGCTTTGTTGGAGGGTGGCCCACTTGTTGATTTGTTTTTTGCTTTCACACTACAGAGGTAGAATTGAGTGGTTGCAACAAAACCTGAAATGTTTATTGCGTGGCCTTTTGCTCACAAAGTAGTTTGCTCTCACCTACTTTCATCCTTGGGTTCTCTAACTCAAGAATGCCCAGACTTAACACACCGATGGTTAGTTTTGTCAAAAACTCTCCCTATTGGTTTCCGAGACTGTAGCTCTTTACAGTAGCAGAAAGCCCGTGGGTTCAGACTGCTGACCTTGTGGTTAGCAACCCAACCAGCCCATAATCCAGTATGCCATCAGGGTTCCTTCAGTCCTGTTGCGATGCCTTAACAAATAATGCCCATTCTAAATAGTGGCTTCCCAGGGAATCTGCTGGCCCAGTTGAATTCAAGGCAGAGACGTGAGTTCAGATTATGGTGATGTTTTTGGGATTTCAAAACTGTAATCTTGATAGATTTTCTCAAGGGATGCAGGACCAACTTCATGGCCTTATTGGGAAGAAATATTAAGGGAATTGAAAACTACATTGGTGAGAGAGAGGCCAGGAAATTTATTGTAAGGGATTTTTTCTGTCATGACAGTGCCCTTGCTCCTCCTTCCAGGGTCGCAAGGGCTGACCTCTAGAGGATTTCCTTGGGAAACCTTATCCTGTCTCTTCTCTGGCTCTTTTCTTACCCCTTCACACGTCTTTTTGTACCCCAAACGCAGACCATTTAAAAGGGACATGATTTAAGCTCTCAAAGGTGCCAAAACTGTCATTTTGATGTGGTATAAATTGAAGAGTGCAGAATTCTTCAGGGAAGAATCAGGGATAGACTAATTCTGCCTTACAAATCCGGCTAGACCAGAGAATGTGCACTGGTACAGATCGGAACTAGAAACACAGGGAATCCAGGACAGGTGATCCCTTCAGGACCAGTGGTGAGAGTGGCGATACCAGGAGAGTAGAGGGAGAGTGGAGGAGAAAGGGGGAAACCGATTATAAGAATCTATATAACCTCCTCCCTCAGGGGCGGGCAACAGAAAAGTGGGTAAAGGGAGATGTCGGACAGTGTAAGATATGCTAAAATAATAATTTATAAATTATTAAGGGTTCATGAGGGAGAGGGGAGCGGGGATGGAAGGGACAAAATGAGCTGATACCAAGGGCTCAAGTAGAAATCAAATGTTTTGAGAACGATGATGGCAACAAATGTACAGATGTGCTTGACACAATGGATCGATGTATGGATTGTGATAAGAGTAGTAGGAGCCCCCAATAAAATGATTAAAAAAAAAAAGAATCGGGTAGAAACACCATGTTTAGAATTGTATATACCTTGATGGAGGAGGATATATTGAGAAATAATAGCTTCTTTATTTTGATATTTTTGTTTAATGAAGGCTTCTGACTTTATAGCAATGATTTTTTTCTTACCCTTGTATAGTTCATAGTAAGATTTTCCAGACTGTTCTATTACAGTGTCCTTCACAGCTCTTTTTACCTTGAATACAGGATCTAGTCAGGGATCATGCATTGTTTGGTTGCCCTGTTTCTTTAGAAATCTTTCTCTCGTGTACGAGGGTTTGACTCCCCCCCCCCTGTTTTATTGGCACATAATTTACATATCATACAATTCAATAATTTAATCTTTCAATCATATCAAGGAAAATTGTACAATCATTACTACATCTGGATTTGACATTTCTGTAGAGTCTAGGCCAACTGATTTCAAAAATATCCAAAATCTGGATTTATTTTGTGTTTCCAAGCTACTAAGTTCAAGTTAGACATATCTGACAAGAACTTATGCTAACAGAGTGGGTGAATGCTCCAAGAGGGACAGACTATTTAGTCTCAAGGTCTCCTAGCATGAATTATTTATTAATTTGAAATCTATTTCAAGTGACTTTACAGTGGATTAATCTAGCAAATAGAATCCTAAAATAAAAATAGCATCATTAAATTAGCATCATACAAACATACTTTATCTGCCTGTATGTATACATCTTTTGTGGTATTCCTGCCCCCAAAGCCTAAACTTGATTCTAATCATGGAGAAACAGCAGAAAAACCCAAATAGAAAAGCATTTTATAAAATTCTGTAATCTTGAATGATCATGAAAAACAAAAAAGGCTAACAAAGTGTTTGAGATTAAAGGAGACTCAAGCAGAATAAGCAGGTGCAGTGTGTGGCCCTGAGTTGGATTCAGTTGGCAGGCATGCAGAGGGGCAATAGCTGTAAATTGAGATAACCTGTGAACTTTGTGTATTAATAGAGGATTGAATAATATTTGCACCAGTACATTTCTGGTTATAATAAGTGAACTATGCTTATGTAAGAGAAAGTCCTCTTTCTTAAGAAATAGATATCATAATATATATAAAGGGGTTGCCTAGGTAAAGAGTGTGGGAAAAAGGAATTCCAAGTGTGTGGGGAAAAAAGCCAGCCTTTAAATTCTATTTTGTGAACTTCTGCAATGTTCTCCTGTATGAGAGCTCTTTGCACTAATCCTGAAATTTTTCTGTATGTGTGAAATTATTTTAAAAGTTTTAAATAAAGCAAATACTATTTTTCATTATGGTCATTTAATAAAGTTAAGCAGAATGTGTCAAAGCAATTTTGGCATTAATGTAAAGGCTTTTTAAGGTAGTTACATACTTTTTAGTAACATTATTATTATTGTGGATTTTTAAATGGAATAAAAGCCCAGTAAGTGTGAGGTCTGAATGAGCAAATTGTAGTCAAATCTGGGAAATAGCTAATGCAGAATTCAGGACGACCAATGAAGGCACCTGTGGCTGTTGTTTTTGTCGTCAGGTGCTGTTGAGTTGATTCTGACTCAGAGGACCTTGTGCACAACAGACTGAAGCACTGCCAGGTCCTGCACCGTCCTCACGACTGTGGTCATGTTCGAGCTCCTTGTTGTGGCCCCTGTGTCCATCCATCTTTTCCAAGGCCTCTTTTGCGCTGCCCCTCTACTTTACCACGCATTCTGTCCTTCTTGATCTGCTTGGCTGCTAACTGACAGGTCAGCCATTTGAACCCCGCAGCCACTCTTAAGAGAAAGATTAGGCAGTCTGCTCTCAAAAAGCCTTGGAAACCTGATGGGGCACTTCCACTCTAGCCTGCAGGGTCACTAGGAGTAGGAATCATCTCATAGTGGGGATTCTGGTCTCTTCTGATCACATGTCCAAAGCACCATGAGACAAAGTCGCAATATCTTGTCCCTGCTAGGGACATTCTGGCTGTACTTTTTCCACAACAAATTTGTTCGTTCTTTTGGTAATCCATGCTACTCTCGATGTTCTTTGCCAGCAGCATAATTCAAATGCATCTGTTCTTGTTCAGTGTTCCTTATTCAGTGTCCAGTTTTCACATGTTACTGGACATGGTGCAATACACTGACATCTGGCAAGAACTGCTTATCAGGTGAGGGCCAATATTCAGGACTCTAATCCTTACCCTTCTTGAAAGAAAAACTTTTTTCCTTTTTTTTTTAAATCATTTTATTGGGGGCTTGTACAACTCTTATCACAATCCACACATACATCCATTGTGTCAAGCGTATTTGTACATTTGTTGCCATCATCATTCTCATAACATTTGCTTTCTACTTCAGCCCTTGTATCAGCTCCTCACGTTTTTTCCACCACCCCCTTCCTCACAAACCCTTGATAATTTATAAATTATTATTAGTTTTTCATGTCTTACACTGTCCGATGTCTCCCTTCACCCACTTTTCTG